GTGGACTTATACTTGAACCAACCCAGGTGAGCCGCTCTGGGCTCATAACCTAAAGTTGCACCACTCAGTGCGGCGGCTCGGTTGGGATGGCAGTAGACTCTGAAGATATATTTGTCGGTGTAAATACATGTAAATACACATCGAGACAAGTATGGAAAGTGCACAACACCCATTATGACTTGCTCCTCCAACAGTATTGAGTAACATTTATTGCGGAATTATTTTATTAGCAGTTTTCCTTCAGTAAATTATCAGGAAAATCACGTCCTACTGAAAAGTGGTAAATATAGGTGTAATATTGACTAGAAATCATAGTAAAAGTCAATATAGAATTTTATCCATAGACGATCTATACGTCAGGTGAGATCGTTGGGGGGTGTTTATTGTTGTTTAGACAGTGAACAATCATATATTTGGCAACCAAAACACGGTCAGTACGCAAATCAGCACAAACTCTAATATCATTACTGGACGTAGGAAACTGGTTACATAAGGTGATCCAGCTCCGCTCCTTCACCGTGTGTTTGTCAACCACAGACAAGATGACTGGGCTGACTGGCTACCTCTTGCCGAATTCGCATACAACAACCGTGTTCATTCCTCCACCCGCCGCACCCCCTTCGAGCTTGACTCTGGGCAACACCCACGCATGGGAACCGAACCAACCCGCACATCAGAGGTCGAAGCAGCCGATGACTTCGCCTCCTGCATGATGAAGATGCAGGAAGAGGCAAAAGCAGCCCTGGAGCACGCAGCAGATGAGATGGCCCGGTACTATGACCGAAACCGGAGAGCAGCACCAAGGTACAAAGTTGGGGACAGGGTCTGGCTCAGCACCCAGAACTACACAATGGACCGGCCCACCAAAAAACTCGACCACAAATGGATTGGCCCCTTCCCAATTACCAAGGTAGTATCCCCAGCAGCGGTAAAGCTGCAACTCACCCCGCAGCAGAAGGGGATCCACCCAGTAGTCTCGGTCACCAACATCCACCCCTACCTCCCGGACGAAATCACAGGACACCCAGCCGACCCGCGCCCAGGCCCAGATGTGGTAAATGGGGAAGAGGAGTATGAGGTAGAAAAGGTCCTAAACTCCAGATATAGGTATGGACAACTCTGGTACCTCGTCAAATTCACTGGCTGGCCACACTTGGAGAATGAATGGCTTCCCTGGGAGAACTTGGAGCACTCCCCAGACCTCGTGGAGGAATTTCACCAAGCCCACCCCACAGCCCCCAAACCAACAAGGACCAGAAGACCCCACCAACCAAGAACATCAGCCACTTCGAGGCGAAGTGGCATAGAGGGGGGGTGATGTCAGGGCACAGCCCTTGACCCCACTCACCCTCAGACACCCTCACCCTTCTCCTAACCACCCTCTCTCCACATTTCCCCATTCCCCTTATCCTTCCCCCCACTGTTTCACATAATGACGTGCGTGCGCGAACCTGTTATGGAAAGTCGGCAGCAAGCGGGAACTGTATAGTTCCTAGGGTCCTTTTGTGTCGGCCTCACAGGGGGCTGAGAAGCTTACCCTTCTTCTCAGCTCATTCCCTGTGAAGGCTGAGGCCAGTCCCCTCAGCGACTTCGAGGAGTTAGCACCTGGGGAGAGTACCCCAGCTTCCACACCCGGCCTTGCCCTCCAGCCACTCCCAGCTGGGGTCTGGATCCTGACAGGAGTTGGCTAGGTACTCCAGGGCACTCCCAGGAGGGCCTGGAGCATTGCTTTGTGCACAAACATATCCAGTAAATACAATTTAAATGCTTCAAAGTGTATAGGGGTGAGAAGCTTCTGGGAGCTCCTGGAGCATTTGAAAATGAAAAGGAAAAAAAGAGGGAAGATCCCCCATGAATACCTCCTACCACAAGACTAACACAACAAGACACTGCTTAACATTTAGATCAAACACTATACTATATATCAAGGACACTGAGACTCACCAATACACAATCAAAATTTATGGCCTGATATATGATTAATCTGGCAACTTAATCACTTTCGGGCTGGCAGAATATGGGGGAGGGGGAAATGAGGGGGAAATGAGGGGGAGAATGAGGGGGGAATGAGGGGGGAATGAGGGGGGGATATAGAGGGAAATGAGGAAAATTTGAAAAATAGGGACTTCTAAAAAGTTGAAAAAAATAATTAGGGAAAAAATCAAAAAAATTCAGGAACTGTAGTGCCTTTGAAGTGCTTTCAGGATATATAATTATTTGCAAAATCGAGGAAGAAATGATGGAGAAAAATGGAAAATACTTTCGGAGACCTGAGAAATAATGAGAACTGAATTGATGGGAAAGTCTGAAAATTGAATAGGGAAGTGAGGGGAAGCCTTGTAGCATTGTTATTTTCTGCTGTTCTAATTTTTCCTGATTGTTCTTGGTCTCACTCCCAGCTGCTACTGGATACTCCTGGATACTCCTGGAAGCTCCTGGGAAGGTCCAGGAGCAGCTAATGGAAAATACTTTTGGAGACCCAAGAACTGAATTGATGGGAAAGTCTGAAAATTGAATAGGAAAGTGAGGGGAAGCCTTGTAAGCATTGTTATTTTCTGCTGTTCTGATTTTTCCTGATTGTTCTTGGTCTCACTCCCAGCTGCTCCTGGACCCTCCCAGGAGCTTCCAGGAGTATTGAGGAGCAGCTGGGAATGAGACCAAGAAGAATCGGGAAAAATCAGAACAGCAGAAAATAACAATGCTACAAGGCTTCCCCTCACTTTCCTATTCAATTTTCAGACTTTCCCATCAATTCAGTTCTTGGGTCTCCAAAAGTATTTTCCATTAGCTGCTCCTGGACCCTCCCAGGAGCTTCCAGGAGTATCCAGGAGTATCCAGTAGCAGCTGGGAGTGAGACCAAGAACAATCAGGAAAAATTAGAACAGCAGAAAATAACAATGCTACAAGGCTTCCCCTCACTTCCCTATTCAATTTCCAGACTTTCCCATCAATTCAGTTCTCATTATTTCTCGGGTCTCCAAAAGTATTTTCCATTTTTCTCCATCATTTCTTCCTCGATTTTGCAAATAATTATATATCCTGAAAGCACTTCAAAGGCACTACAGTTCCTGAATTTTTTTTGATTTTTTCCCTAATTATTTTTTTCAACTTTTTAGAAGTCCCTATTTTTCAAATTTTCCTCATTTCCCTCTATATCCCCCCCTCATTCCCCCCTCATTCCCCCCCTCATTCCCCCCCTCATTCCCCCCTCATTCCCCCCCTCATTCCCCCCCTCATTCTCCCCCTCATTCTCCCCTCATTCTCCCCCTCATTTCCCCCTCATTTCCCCCCCTCATTCTCCCCCATTTCCCCCTCCCCCATATTCTGCCAGCCCGAAAGTGATTAAGTTGCCAGATTAATCATATATCAGGCCATAAATTTTGATTGTGTATTGGTGAGTCTCAGTGTCCTTGATATATAGTATAGTGTTTGATCTAAATGTTAAGCAGTGTCTTGTTGTGTTAGTCTTGTGGTAGGAGGTATTCATGGGGGATCTTCCCTCTTTTTTTCCTTTTCATTTTCAAATGCTCCAGGAGCTCCCAGAAGCTTCTCACCCCTATACACTTTGAAGCATTTAAATTGTATTTACTGGATATGTTTGTGCACAAAGCAATGCTCCAGGCCCTCCTGGGAGTGCCCTGGAGTACCTAGCCAACTCCGGAGGAAATGGGCTGTTCCTGGACCGGCCAATCTCCTCCTGATTCTCCCAGTGCTCTCGATACTCCGGAGCACTCAGGAGCATAACAATTTTTTGCTGATGTTGGCACCTACACCAACCCCTTACAACTACCTAACTAATAGATGGTATCTGACATCTCAGTGGGGCATATCAACAGAGAGCTTTGGGAAGGAGGTGTTGGAGTGCAGCGCACGTTCCGGAGGTTTCTGACCAGGTGACTTTCACCTGACTTGTAAATGAATACTTTTCCCTTTTCTATTATCGCGGAATTACCCGCTACCGACTATACAGACATACCCGCTCTTTCTATTCATTTCCTTTTTCCTCAGCCCCCCATGCCACTCAGCCCGAGACTGAGGTCAGTACTACTTTCTTTCATTCTGATTTCTCTTCATATCTAAATGTGTATTATCTTTAGTTAAACTATGCTAGTATTTTCACAGGAGGTGCTTTTGGCCTTTGTTTTCACACTTTGACTACTGCTCATGTTTCACTTCAGTGGCATAGAACTAACACTAGATGTATATAAGGACAGGACTTGCACTGAGAGCCGATACATCACTAATTGACGTATCGTGCTGCTCAGATTAACAGGGTCTACCCCCCCGGCCATTCATCAGGAATGAGTTGCTTTTCAACTTTCACATGAACTACATCATTCTCACGGCTCTCGACCATCATCTATGAGCTTCGAGATGCAACAATACAAACAGTCATCCTTAACCAAGATAAACGGGATAGGGGGGGGGGTAGGAAAAGCAAAGCAAGATAGAACTTCTGCGAATTAAAAAAAGGAGTGGATATGTTCCCAAAAAATCCCTACCACCAAGCAGACACATCCTTATCTCTCACTACTGAATATCAATCACATCGCCTTCCTCCGAACGCTGGGAAAAGGTCGTTTCTAACCATCTTCCACCAGCCTGCAAAGGATATGTCCGTTCTTGGGGAAGGTATGGCCCTCCAACACTACTACCCACCGCAGCTTCTTCGTTGCTGGGGATAACACTAGTGGACGCTGGTAGTGCTACGGGAATGGGCGATGCTGGGTGTGTTCCTTCATTTGGAGCAGGATTTCGTCCAGAGAGGGAGGGGGGCGCTGTCCCTCTAGGATCGTACCGGGTTTTGGATGGCCGAGCCTTCATCTCGTACCAGTTCTCCCTGAGCGAGTGCGCATTCCCAAACCCGTGATATCCCCTCCGGTCGCGACGATTGTCACCGTCGTCCCCATCCCCGTCCACGTCCCCATCCACATCATCGTCATCATCGTCCTCGTCGTCCTCGTCATCATAGTGGTCCTTCCCTCCACTGTCTGCACCCTTCCGCTCTAAATCAGGCAACAGGTTCTGGAGGCCAGCGTCATCAACTTGCTGACCTGGGAAGCTCCCCCTTACGGGTGGCTGGGAACTTCGAGGTTGTGTATGTCACACTGCTGTTGGGGCAGTCGGCTTGGCTGCCGGAGAAGAAACTCCCATAACATCCCTAATATTGAGGAGCATGTGGGCTGCAACGAGGGTGGGAACCAATGGGGTGAGACTAGGTGAGAGTGAGAATGCCTGTCAACAATTGTGCTCTCTATTCTGACCGACTTACGCAACGCCAAAAGTAAGCAATGGTCGCTAAGATGAGAACGGGCATAGTAAGTTTTGACTCAGATTGACGTCAAATTGCAGCGAACGTACTGGCCGTAAAATCTGGACAAGCAGCCCAATAGATGTACATACTAAATAGCAGCATGTAAGCTTGTATTCCCCATGAGAATATAGATTCGTACTGGAAGTGGCTAATGCAGTGTAACCATTCGAATAAATGAGTCATCGATCTGAACCTCGCGCTTGCCACTCACCAAGAAACCCAAAAAAACCTATTTATTGAGTACGTCAATACATGCAGATGTAGTTAGCGTCAAATGGACATGAAAGACAAAGAGACGATCTTACCATCGTGGAACAACATCCTTGGTACTATACCCATTGAACCCATCTTGACGTAAGAACAGAACTTGATCGCAAACAAGACAGTATAGACACTAAAAATCACAACCACAGCGAGTGTCACTAACAGCTCCAAGCCAGCATGATGGAATCAGACATACAGATTTCAAAGGTCATAATCGGAACGAGTCGCTCCCATGACCATGTGGGCAGGCGAATGAGACACCCAGTATAAGGAGCTGGCTGAGAGTTTATGATAACTAATGTGAAGCATGGGAGGGTAAGGTCAACGTCGCAAACATACGGCCCATACCTGTCCACGGGCCGAGCCACATGAACAGCACTTGATTCAGCAATCCACCCTCACCGATGATTCATAACGTCAGATTCTGTCTGGGAGGTATGTTTTAAAGTCTGATGCATTACACGCACCATGACGAGAACGAGAACCGCCCATAAGAGTACCTTGTTGGAACTGTACAATGCATATGTACGCATCGTTAAAATAACTATAGCGAACGGTAGTCAACTTCCCCTCTTAAGTAGTGGACTCAAGGCGTGACTGTGCATACCCTGTACGACTGCAATATTGAGAGCGGAAAGAGAGGTAACGGTGCGGATCAGGGGCCCACATAGCTAATTAAGGAGGGGAACAAACGAGTTCGAGCATAACGGGGCAGGGCTTTAAGGATGCTTAAGCGTACTTTGAGTTGCGTATGAGGAGCAAAATTGTACATCGATGCTGGTTCGATACAGAAATGATCAGAAACAAACCCAATAGAATGATAGTACCAAGTAGAATTTAACACCCACTCTGGAGATGTAGGATGGCGCCCAGCATGGGAACCCCTCTAATTAACGCTCCCCAAAGTCAGATTTGCTCAAGCCTATGCCTGTATCAATAAGGGTCACCTATTCTAGAAGGAGGGCACAACCAGTTAACGCGCCGACATAGCTTACTAGCTTACTTACAAGAAAGTATAGGACAGTCCCCAATTGTCGTTAGCATTGTTGATCGAAACCAAGCGGAAAACATACATTCCCATTCTCAAGGTTGATCTTGTTCCTGATAGCCTCGGGACTCATAGCGGGTTGCTGGTTTTGCTATGCTGAAGGGCCGCAGCAGCGAAGTGTCGAGATGGAAAGACTCTGGGGCTAAAGTAGGGGGGCGTCGTAGACAGGCAACAGTCGAAGCCTGCGGCATTCGGGTAAGTATCGCAATGTTGATCGAGACCTTGAACTGAGATTAGAAGTTCAAGACTTGTTGTGTAGACATCTGTGGATAGACCGATACAATCAACCACGCGCCCCAACTTGTTTTGATCCAATAGCCCATGCTCCGCCATTGGGTGGAGGCTTCTTTCCGGCGCTCTCGCTGCCGAGTAAAATGAGCGTGAGAGTTCGCACCTGTGTGGGGGTCACGAATATTGCCAAGCTAAGACCACCCGGCGCTCGCTGGCCGCTGCTGTGCCGCTTATCGGTTGGCTGCGACACCTGGAACATAATCACTCTGGGCGGAGATTTAATACCACATCCTTTGACCTCCATCGTAACGATAACCCTTGAATCACGACACAAAATGGGCGAGGTGGCCGAATTCATCCATACTGGAACCAGCTACTGGCAGGGCAACTTGCCTTCAATATGCCTGAGCTGTTGTCCTTAAAATAATAATAATCCCTAGATCACAACGCCCAACGGGACAGGAAACACCTACATAAGACGCGGGGGACCGTAGCCGAACAATGCACCTATGCTAGGGTCACTTTATAGCACGTATCTTGCCCCATTGCTCCAACACTCCGGTTTCTACGCCATCGCAAACCCACTTATATTGCTCCTCTGCAAACTGCAGATTATCCTTTTCGTGAGCAAAAAGTTTCTTGTAACCTGGAGCCCCTGGTCCAATGGCTGAGGCACGTTAGCTCCGGACAGCACGGAACCGAATGAGCAGCCATATCTGGCGTTGAGTCTGCGGCTGTACGAAGGGCAGTGCATAAATGGGCAGGAAACAATTGGCCTTCAGCCAATAGCCGGGACAAGAAAATATCGGAACGGATCAATATACTGACCATTTTCTGACCCGAGAAGCAGCGGAATGAGTCCATTAAGTTGAGAAAGTACCATGAAAGAGAAGAAACTCAACGAACGTCCATATCAAGAGTCTTGATGCCACGCTGCATCATTGATTTGAAGCCAAGCGTTAGCGGGAACGGGAGTTTAACTAAGGCGCAACGTCAGTAACAGGGAGAACTCTTCCGCTCTATGGGAGGGAGTGCTCCGCGCGGAGGAGGGGGAAAGCGTGATAGATACCTACTCAAAACGAAACCCTGAAAGAAGAAATTGATCCATCCCATAATGAGCATCTGCGGCACCATCATGACCATTTGCTTCTTCAGCCCTTCCACCATGCCATCCATAGCACCTGGATCAGCGAATGTCTTTGGAGGATTTTCTTCCTTCTCTCTTCTGACCATTCAGGTAAGTTCCTTCGGTGAATGCGATGCAGAGATGTGATGAAATGGTGCGATAGGGGTGCGGTGGAAGAGGGGAGGACGTGGATGTCGCTCGAAGTATCTGGGAACAAGAAATGGCCCGTCTAATAATTGTGCGATGAGCGACCAGGAAGTGACGAGTGGGGATGCAGTGGAAGTGCTTCTTTGGTGGAGAATTGAGGAGGGCAACGTAGTGTCGCAGGATTCCAACCAGAATCTGTGCGAAGCCGGCCCCCGCATAGTCAGAGTCACGTAAGAGAAACCCATAGCCAAAGAGGCACAGAGCAGGCACGGGGGGGGATTCAAATCTTCAACAGGCGTACGCAACTATGACGCGCGTGATTGGAAAGAGAACCCAATCACGAATTTGTGGGTTCAGGTATAGGGAAACATTTCTGAATGCTTTCCGCATCAGTCATGACGATCACAAACGCTTAGATGTACCCAATATTGCACTAGTATTTACCCCTCGGAATGATGACATGGAGAAACTTCACAAGACATCGTGCCAAACACATGTTTTCACATGCTCTACATATGGTTTTGACCATGGGGTGGCATAGCCAGAGTTGAATACGACACTGAGCATGAGGCTCACAGCCAATGCGACTCGAATGCCCCTTCAAGTTATTATGCTTGGGCTAGATTCTTCGATTTACGTTCTCCGCATTCTTCCGAGTCGCCCGCTTCCCTGTTCCCATTCATCACTAGTTGAGCATTCCTGATCCCGATGACCTGGAACCCTATACTATAATGCTGATCGTCGGTGGGAGCAAAAAACCTTCTCGACAACGGTTGGATGGCCGCGTAAGTTGGCACTGTCTCGCCGCATTACGTCATCTGCATCGTAGACCAGAGTCTAACATTCTCTTTTTTTAGTGGAGCCCCAGTAGCTTTCGCGATACATTACTGTATTTAGGGCTTGTATTGGGAAATATGGGTTGAGAACACATTCACCTCCCCCCACACACACATCTAACAATTTCGTGAACTGTTCGATCTTGTTCCCAACTGGTGGCGACAGGGCCAATCAGTAGAAGGCGAAATAGACAGTGGGGTGTCGTATGAGGATACTTGCAATTAGAATATGGCCTATAGTTCCATTTGACCATGTAGTGGCACATAAAAAGTTCGAGGGTGGATTCAAGATGAAGTCTGGTGTGAAAAGTCCGTAAAATAATTAGAGCGTTGTTAGATTCTTATAACGAGGTGTCAACGAGCGATAGGCTTGGGTGTAGTGGGAGGGGGTCCAATAGAGGTAAGCGATTCCTTTTAAGCCCTTCACGAGGTGGCCGCATTTGCCTACTAAAAATAAAGCCGGGGGCTCTGGGGCTATGTATTGGTGGCACGAAAACGAGTCGTGGCCCTGAGAAATAGATGCCCCAAAGCGACGAGGAAGGGATGTGGGCACGGCATCAGTCTCCCAACCATATGGGAGGAATCACCCTGGTACTGATAATCCTAGAAAGAGGATCCCATGGCGCAACTTCAGTGACGCAGTGAGTTGAATGAGAAGGGCATCGGGGTCCTCAGCGGTGGATGCTTAAGAGCGCGCAGGACCCGTCAATACCACTACTGTACTATAACGACCATAAGTTCGTCGCATGTCGCACGAAGATTTTGGATTGAATTGATTTGGAGCCTCCGGCAACTTCCGGAGGCCGTGGGAATGAACTAACGGTCGTTATACTACAATCACTGCGTTTAGGGGAAGATTATCCACGGTCGGATAGTACAGAAATATTACTAATATCCTCTGGTGTATCGCACACTTGATGATTGCAGAGCAAGCGCAGAATATTTCAGAAACTCCCACACACTTTGACAGAGGATAGCACAGTGATTGCACTGACCGGATTTAGCGGGGCAACGACCAGGTCTGGTAGTAAACGTGACTGAATATTTCATGGGATATTACAGACTCGGAATAAGAGCCCGAAACTGGGGCTTTTGGATCCGAACCGGATACAATTAGTATTAATATATTGGTATTAATTATTATTCGCGCGCCAGCTGCTTGCCCCTTTGCGCTTTCCTCATTGGATGTACAGAAGAACGGAGTGATGAACACGCCAAACAGTACTAGTACTACTAGTACCAGTCCTGAAGGAAACGACCTCAATGCCCCATCCACCTCGCCCTCCCCAATGAGCAGAACCAACTCCGCCCCTCAGCTGGACCTGTACGGACATGCAACCAGTACCGGGACATCTGGCACATATGCCCCCCTGGGCCCCCACGCTGCATTTTCCCCATCCCCATCGTCCATTCCATGGTCAGGATCAAGCCATTATGGACTAAACATGAGTGGGTGTTAACAGATGAATAATAGGGCAGAAAAGACCGCTAAAAATCTTTACCAAACACGTTTTAGGTATCCCAAGTGCTGCTCCGACTCTTGCAAATTATCATCAAAACAGTAGAGGACCTCCCTACAGCCAGAATCCTCCTGGTAAGTTGCCTGAAACCACTGAGAAACCAGCACTTACGTGATATGCTTCAGGTATGCCGACCCCCGCTATAATGCAACAGTATTCCATGAGCCAAAGTTTTGCGAGTCCTGGCACTCACTTCCAGGATGCAAGTCCGGTTAATAACCTTGCGCCATACGGACCCCCACCCACTCAGGAAGCTTGCGAAAAGTTGATAAATGATTTCGTCCAAAAGCAGGTAGACGAAAAAATGATAACTATGGCGCAACAATTAGAACAGTTATCGCAACAAGTGAACGAAAATACCACCAGCGCCACCACAAACAGTCATACTGAGCCAAGCAGCAGGAGAGGCCAGGCAAAGGACAAGTGGCCGGCGAACGGACGGGTGAGTTGAAGAAATTCAACACTGCTAGCGCTATAGACTTATGTCATGAATTCAACTGAGGTAAACCAGGTGACTGGACAAATGACATAAAATGGACAAGCCTGGTATCGAACCCAGGACCTCTAGTGTGCATCCATACACTACTCGCCCTCAATTTGGGGTGTTAGCCTCCAAATTGATGTACCGTGGCTTGTCCACCATGAAGAAATTCAACACTGCTAGCGCTATAGACTTATGTCATGAATTCAACTGAGGTAAACCAGGTGACTGGACAAATGACATAAAATGGACAAGCCTGGTATCGAACCCAGGACCTCTAGTGTGCATCCATACACTACTCGCCCATTATGCCAGGGAGGTTACTCCATCCCTGATGGTTATTCCAACATGAGTCGCATATACCAGCTGAGGGGCCCAACTGATCCAGCATTGGGTTCCAGGACCCAGTGCGAAAGGCACTACGTGACGTGATTGGCTGCAATATACGAAAGCCAAATGCTGAAGATCTTCCTTCACCTTTGCCAGAGGGTGCTCCCACACCATGCAGAGAAAATGGGGACCCCCTCCTGATCCCGAACTGGCAGTTGGGAGTTAAGGAAAAAATCAATCAACGAGTGATCAGCGAAACAGTTAGGTTCAGTATGAATGATTCAGTGCGTGAAAGTGACCCATACCCTTGCACAACTCCTGACACCCAGCACAGATGATAAAGGCCTACATTGATGAACGAAGGATTGATCAGAGTGATGTTCATAATGCAGCTGAGCAGTACTTCAATTCCCTCAAATTGAAGTGGAAAAGATCACAGACGGAAGCCGGTCGTCAAAGTCTGGCAAACTCGCGACAAAGAAACACGACTATGGCACGATTGAAAGCAGTATGCCGATCCTTGCCTGATGACTGGCAATATTAATGTTAATCAAGTTTGTCTCCAGAAAGCCGCCAGGAGACATGAAGGCATAGGAGGGTTAGTGGGTAAAGTCAAAGCCACGGAGGACGAGATGGAGTCGGTTATACTTACTGACCATATGTCTTCCGACAACGACACGGAAGTCGAGACCCCAACCACCGAAGGCCTGAGGCATGAAAAAATCCTGGTCCGCAGACAAAACCTGTGGAGAAGCGCCAAGGTGAGTCATAACCCAAAACTTTGAAACTTACCAGGACACTAACTTATATACTAAGTTTGTGAAATTCCTTTATGCCTCGGATAAAAGTCGCAGGTTAGAGATGGAAGCGAGGGCATGCCTGAAGCGCAAGAGAATGCATGCCCAAAACACCCACAAACCTGCAAAACATGCAAATTACGATGGCAACACATTTTCACAGCGACTCCCAAGGCTGCCAATCCCAAGATCCCTAACGAGCCCGGTAATCAAGGTGGAAGTGGAGGAGAAGATGAGAATCACTGAAACCTTACCCTGGTGGGATGCTATGGATGTCGCGGATACGTTAGTGGATGGGCCAGATCTGGAAATCGTTCGACAACTTGAAGAGCAAGAACACCAGTCTGCTCCCGGTACTAGTGCTAGTACTACTACCGTTAGTTAAGTACACGCGCAACAAAACCGCTGTAAAATAACTCAAGCCTCAGCTATGTGCGGTGTGGGAATGCAAAAATAATGTGTCAGATGCTGGATAGTCAGAAGTGCGTGCCAGTGAGGTACATCGCATACAGGGCTGCTGCATGCCTCTGGGTTGAAAAGAGGTTGCTTGTTGCTTGGACAAAAGACTCTGGTGGCACAAACGGCGGGAGGTGGTCGAACATCGACATATTGAAGTGACAACATAAACAAACAACAACATATATTGGGCGACAAAATTTTGTTTTCCTCAGACTACATACTATTATGCTATATGCCTTCTCCATGCTAGAGGAAGTAAACATCATCAGCTATTCCGATCGTTAGAGCCCAAGTTTAGATATCGAACTTACGGGATCGATGGTGATGGTCACCCAGAGTTTGACGCCACCCACCTCTACCTCCAGTCGCGCGAGATGGCTGATTATGCAGTCTAAGGCGATGATGGTCAATGCTCCACCATTCCACCACATTCCGGCATGCCATTGTTTGATATGAGCATTCTTTTCGCTGTTAAACGGGTTTTGAGTGAGGTGAAACACAAACAAAGTCCCAACATACAATGGTGTCCAAACCGTTGGGTTCTGGGGCTGATATGGAGCGAACCATTTGACGTACCCAAAGGATACTCTTTTACCGCTGAGACCTAAGTCCTCGTCAAATGATAAAACTTGAGTGAGCTCCCCGCAATAACGCTGGCCTGCAAGTTCCACCTCAACCAGCGAGCTTCGAGGATTCTTTGCTGACTGTGACGCAAGGTATCTTCTCGAATGAACTACAACATAATGGTGATTCCAGCAATGGGTTGGCAGTGGAATACTATTCGGTTCGGGGCTCGGTGCAGTGTACTGATGCAGCTTCAGAGTGGAATTTCGACGTTTGAGATGATTGATTATCGAGAGAGATTCGGAAATGGTTAGTTCAACCTTTCTCTTTGGAGCAGGGCCCAACAAGACCATTTGTAGCGGTACTTCCTCTGATGTCTGGAGTGGGTCAAATGTGACAGGGCTGGCAGTCTAGCGAACCTTACCATCTATCCTCTTATCTTCAAGCTCCCTTGCTAACGCTTGCACAGTGCCTCGATCATCGCGGCTCGCATTCATCAATAACATCGCAGCTGAACTCTCAACCGCATTGGATGACCGGGATGCCTCGTTGAGCTGAAGGGATTTCATCAGCTTGGTTGTGACCAGCAAGGATATGTATATATCAGGACATACTATCTGTGACACCTGGTTTGCACGGTGAAACTCACGAAAGAAGGAGACCTCCAATTGTCCACATCCATGGTTATTGGACTTGTAACTTTTGAGGACTTTATTGAGACGCTCGAAGAGGAACGTCCAGAAACCGTATACAGGACCAAAGTCGCGGATGAACTCGGCTGTGTGAACGGCATAGTGATGATTGGGTTTAATCATATCAGGACCGAAAATCTATTGTATAAAGTGGGATCCAGTATTCCAATTTCACGGGTAATTACTTACCTCCAGAACGCCTTTGAGGTAACCCAGCATATATCTTTCGCCTTCAATTATCTGCGCCTCCGTAATTCTGCGAGACAACCAACACTTGAGAGCCATTGTGAGATTGGAAAAGTTCGCTGGCTCATCAGGATGTAGATTTGAGGGCAAATCGCCTGTAGCAACAGTAGAGGATTTCTTATTTGTGCGTCCACGCGATTTTCCCGACTTTGTAGAGGTTGCAGTTGTACGTGAGGCAACCTCGTGTGATGAAGGCCCTTGGTGGGGTTGAGTATCGGCAGACTAATGTTGGAGTTTATACTAGTACTCCGTTCAAAAATTCAAGTTCATGACATACCAATGACTCTTGTGCCATTTCCTTCAGTAATTTAGCTTGCTCGCGTCTCTCCTTGGCATCCTTCTTCTCCTGAGCCTTCTTGGCAAGACGATTATTAATTGAATGCACACGGGCTTCTCGTGCACAATCTGCATCCTGTGATAGATGTGTGTCCCATATCAAAGGGACCTAGTTGAAAGATTAGCGGAGAGAGATCGCCAAGGGATATACTAGAAACACACTGTAACTGGTCCAAAAACCGTCGCCATGAGCAACCACTGATCAGCAGTCAGCGAGCCTCCTGCTGGCTCCCCAACAGCAGTTGGAAGTGTAGCCATGTGTCCTGGAACCGTGAACTGAGATACATCAGTACCTAACCCGAATCTGTGACACACTGAAAAGGATGGATCATACTTTTGAAAGCAGGGCGTGAAGTTGGATGAGCTCATGTTTAGGCCGGATGATATTTTGAGTGATCCACATATGATAGAAATGGTTTTTACTAAGACCTAGATTATATACCGTCAGTGTGAAGGTTGCACCATGGCTTTCTTGCATTGTACCAAGAATAAGGTTATGCATCGGATCGACTACTATCATCCTGCACAAGTCGAAATATGGGAGACGTGACAACTCTGACCACCGGTTAGAGTGTTGTGTGGCATGTTTCTCCTTCAAAGTTCTCGTTGGGAGATCTCGGTATATCTCTCCCATTCTGCGATGCTCTTCATTAGAACGATGCCGGAAACCTAAGACAACATTTCAGGTATAGAGATGGGACAGACGACATCACATACCTCCAACACGAAGAGCCTCTAACTCATTCTTTTGAGACAGCGTCACCCAGCAGCGAGTGCAGAACATAGTGTGGCTATGGGAGCCAAACCCTCCAAGCTTATGTGCCGCAGGTGCGTCACAAACAACACACAGCAGCACAGCACGGACACACCTGCCTTGAGGACACTTGCGGGTCTCAACCATAATTCCTTTCTCCCACAGGTGGAGAAGATCGTTGATTAGTGGTCTCATGTACCGTTGGACCTGATCGGGGCTTGGTTCCTTGGGGCCGGGGATGATACCCACAAGGAAAAGATTGGATGTTTTATACCTGTTGGACCCTTAGAGATACATCCGAAGCGATTGAAATTGAGACTTACTTGACATGAGGGGGGAGATTCGCTACACATAGCGAAATTGGCCCTGATGAATGCGATGCAGACTGCTGAGATCGACGATACGAGAACCTAAGATGTTTGTTTTGGTCCAACTCAACCGTGATGAAAGGGGAATACTTGCCAGTCAGTACCAAGTGTGAGACCAATACGGAGCTCTCCATTAGGACCCATCTCATGATCTTCAGGTTCATTGCGAAAGAAAGGGGACCCATCATGGCCCAGAATTGAGTGGGCAACACGGCCATCGAAGATATCTTGATATATACCCAGCTCCGGATGCCGGTCAGGTAATGTACGCCACCGATCAAGGAGATCCTCCATCCCAGGTTCCTGCAATAACTCACGAAGCTGTTCGCTGACGGATTTGAAGGCAAAGCAGATTTTTGGCTCACGTCCCTTTGCGCTCCTCTCTTTCGTGTGTGTATTTTCATCGTTTTCGAACAGGGGGATAGTCCTGTTGTTATGCTCGCATTTGGTACAAAGTGCCGGTGTAGTTTCAAGCTCGGGGTAGACTTCCTGGCATGCAGGACATATTGGGAGAACTTGAAAGGAAGGTTCAACAGACATGTGCGAGTGGACAGTCGTTAAGGTCGTGGCGGAGACTGTAGATGGATCCAGATGAAAGTTTGCAGCGCTGAGGATAAGTTGAACTATGGACAAAATGGCCCCTATGATTCGGAATGGGACATGGTGGTAGGAATGGAGCCAGATGGCCAAAAGGTAGAGAATTCGAATGGGTGCTAAATAATGAGTTGTGGAATAGGATGTCCGGGGCCGTGTGTCAGCATGGGATGAGAAAGGGTCTGGGGAATTCTCATCCACACCACCCGACCAAGAGATAGAGTGGATCAAAGGTATGGGAGAAGGGACGGTAGAAGACCCAGCCTGAAGGGTGGCCTCGTCTAGAGGTGCAGATCCAGAATCGATGTCAACGCCACTGGAAGTAGACTCCTTGTCGCTGGGTGTTTGGAACCCATCGTCATCTTCGGCCGAGTCATCATTGCCAGGCTGTATGGCCTCGAATTCCAGAGATAAGTTATCGTTGTGGTCATTCACAAATCCGGGTAAGGGCGGCACCAGAAATACATCTGGCTCTGAATTGTTAGATTCAGGTTGCTGGGGAAATAAGCCACTTCCGAACTCGTTGAACATCATTTCGGTATCATCAGTATTTGAGCCAGAAGCTGACATCGGTGGGCCAGTTGTCATCGGCGAGTCAGCCGTCATCAGTGAGCCAGATGCAGACACTGTTAAGACATCCGAGTAGCGTTGATGGCTAATCTTTCGCCTTTCAGCATTCAGATGGTCATTCCACGTCTTGACGTGGAGCACCTTGCCCTCGATCCCACATCTGCTGCAGTGACACCGCTAAAGTTTTGAAACTTACATATATCAGATTCTTCAGCACAAAATAGCCAGCTACCTTACTTATGGGCATTACAGACTTGTGCCCATGGGTTGCTTAGTCGTGTGAGTGAGATCTGTCGACAGTGAAGACGTGGGGGGAGATCGATTGTGGAGATGAAGGGGCTCGGCAGTATCCGAAAACCATTTCGATGTGACAAGCATTTCTCGAAGTTTTGGCATCAATTCAGAGCTGATGTGGTCCTTACCTACATGTAATGTATGCCTTGACGGTTCCAAGATGATCAAATTATGTCTCCGATACATTTGCATCAAATTCCAAAGTGCGACAAGCACTTCAGTCGGTGTTTGTCAGAAACTGTGTTCGAGGGGATCGCGGGAAGCGGGGCGGAGTACGGCGGCGTAAGTGGTCACTTAGCTAATGAGCTACTCCGTTGCAAGGCGTCGAGGGGGTTGGGACTTCGGCTTCAACGACTTTGCCAGAGCGTTGCGCCACGCGTTCTAGGCTGTCCCGTATTTCACGTTAGCGGGAAGGACCTTGCGGCGACGTTGACTTAAGCGGGATGAAGCTGAGGGGCGAACTTAAGATGAAAGTACTTGGGGGAATTCTAGTCGATATTCGAACTGAGGTACATCGACAGTAAACTACAAGTATAAATAGGAAAGGAGAACAGAGAAGGGGCCGGTCGGTCCGGCGCGGGACGGGAACGAGATGATAAGTACGATAGAACTAAAGAGCGATGAGGACCAGGGTAATGGAACAGAAGAGATGAATGGAACAGAGAACGGCGAAGTTGGGAGGCAGAAAGGATAAGCCGACAATCTAGGCGCGCGGATCAGAATGTCAATATACGTATAAATCAAATATCGATAAAGGAATAATCAATTGTCAATAAGGAATGTCCATAAGGAGCGGATCAACGGCGACCATAACAACCGCTAGTTAGTTAAGCGAGTGAATAGAATAAAACGATACCGGCCGAATGATTGAGGAACCCAAGTGGTGGCGGGAAAACGAAGGAGGCGCTGCTACGGGGCCGTAGAACGGGAACCACTATCGGCGCCGCTAAGTGATGGGCAATGGCGAGATTAACGGGCGCGAGTAACGGCGTAAGAATGGGGGTGCAGAAAGTGGTAGAGGGGCGGGGACTTTGCGGGGCCGTGACAGTATCCCCCTCTTAGGCCTGAACCCCTGAAGGCCTAAGTTCCACGGCGTGAGAGTTTTCCGGCAATTTCCGGGGATTTCGTTTCCGCTGGCTAGAATCAAAATTTTTGTTCATCACTCTCGCTCTCGCCTCTCGATACTTCCTACAATGTCTTTGGCGCGCGCTAACAACATTCTCGACCTGTCTCTCTGGGTGGACGCGGCGCTAGAAGAGCGCATGTCGGATTCTGAGGAGCTGGCGATGGCCAAAGCTCGTGAACGACGCCTGCGTCGATTGCAGGCCCAGAAGGAGGAAGAGGATCGACGGGTGAGGGAGGAGGAGGAGCGTAAGGCGCGTGAGGCGGAAGAACGAGAAAGGAGGAAGGTTGAGAAGGAGAAAAGGGAGCAACGGGCCAGAGCCCAGAAGGAGTTGGCGCAAGCTCGACGAGAGAAGAGACGCGCAGAGGAATCAGGCGAGGGCTCGGCGCCTAACAAGGTAAGTAGGCCCATTTTCTTGAACTCATCTCTAATTGAACTACACTGATGGTTACTTTCGTCAGCGCCAAGTTGTGGAGGTCGAGTTGCCCAGTCGAGAGCGGACCTCTTGCTCGCGGTGTATCAGACGTAAGGTCCGCTGCGTGCGTGGTCCTGGCAAAGCCTGCCAGGAATGCTCCCGGGTGAGGCAGAGGTGTGACCTGGTCGAGCATGGCGCAGAAACGACGCCTAAGCGCCGCCGGGCTGGGTCGTCAGACCTCATACAAGAGCTTGGGGGCTGAGGAAGGATGTCAGGGCCGTCAGGGTCGCGATCGAGCGAGCTGGTGAGCGGATTGGTGACATCCTGGAAAGGATCGCGGGACGGGTTGGTGAGGAGCCGCGTGGTAACGTGAAGAGGAGGGGTGTGGTCGAGAGTGAGGCGGACAGTGGAGAGAGTTCGAGTGAGGAGGACGAGCAGAGGACAGAGGAAGAGTCGGAGGGAGCAGTGGGTGATGACGGCGGCGATAACGGCGCTGGAGACGAGGCCATGGACGTGGAGGCTTCCACCGTTGATTCGCCCTCGTCGTAAACTAGATCCTTCTTCCCATTTTTTGTTAATTAATTCCTCGTCCATTTCGAACTAAGCGTGATCAGGGCCCGGCTTGCCTGGGTAGCGTGAGTGGAAATCAGTAACCAACTCTGAGGCATGTCCCAGCTCAGTAGCCAGTAACCAGGAAGTCTCGTCGTCTGTCCCTTCATAACCTAGCCAACGTACCAGATAGAGTAGCTTGCAGTTGCGGCGGCGCCGGTCGACCTTGGAGTCTAAAATCTCAGAGATCTCATACTCGGGTTCTCCATCGACCTCGATTGGCGGCGGCGGAGTTTGTACGCGGTTGGGAATGGTGTTTGGGATAGACGATTCGAGCTGAGAGACATGGAAGACGGGGTGGACAGATTTCAGGGTATCAGGAAGTCGGAGTGTGCGGGAGTGTGTACCAGGTTGCGCGATGATCTCGAAGGGCCCAAGGTTCTTTTCCGAAAGCTTTTTCGAAGGTCGAGTAGAGCGGAAGTACTTAGCTTTGACATAAACTGAACTACCGACTTCAAATAGCGGGGCGGCCATTCGGCGAGCATCGGCGGGGCCTTGGTAACGTTCTTGAGCCTGACGCATTTCCTCACGAAGAAACTGATGCAGGGAATCAAGATCCACGGAGTATTCCTGGGCACGGGCGGAGGAGAGGTCTCGTTCGGGATGGACAGAGATGGTTGGGTGATAACCCTTGTTGGCGAAGAACGGCGAGACGCCGGTAGTAGCACTCGGCGCGTTATTGTAGGCGAACTCGGCGAGAGGGAGCAACTCCGACCAGTTGTCCTGTTGATAGTTACAATAAACGCGTAAGTACTGCTCCAATGTCTGATTCATGCGTTCCGTCTGACCATCGCCTTCGGGGTGATAGCCAGAGGTGAAATGGAGTCGCATGTCAAGGGCCTTACCCAAAGAACGAAAGAAGTGAGAGACGAACTCGGACCCTCTATCGGAAGTGACGTGCGCCGGAACCCCATGTTTAGAGAAGACGTGAAGGAGGAACAACTTAGCTAGTTCGGGTGCCGTGATAGTATCGTGGGTCGGGATAAAGATGCATTGTTTAGAGAGACGATCCACGACTACTAGTATGGCGGTGAAACCGGCGGAAGATGGAAGTTGTTCGATGAAGTCCATGGAGATAGAGTTCCACGGGCGTTCGGGGATGGGGAGTTGCTTTAGCAGACCGTAGGGCTTGTGGCGCGGAGCCTTGGCACGGGCGCAGGCGGTACAGGAGGAGACGTAATCTTTGACAAACGAGCGAATACCTGGCCAAGTGTACTCTCGACGGATTAGGTCGAGGGTGCGGCTTTGCCCAAAGTGTCCGGACAGGGGGTGATCGTGCTTATACCTCAGAATCCGCAGGCGGAGATTGTTAGCGTCTGGCACATAGATACGGTTGTCTAACCTAAGCAAACCATTATCGTCTAGTGACCAGCGTGAATCTGCGGGAATCGGGGAAGTGAGGTGTTGGGCGACGGCGGGGTCGGCGGGAAGGGCGGCGATGATGTCCTGATGGATGGCCTCGACGTCGACCAGTGTGCCTGCGCGGAGAACAGGGGTGGCAAGGCAAGTGGCTCGAAGGGACGACGCGAGCTGCTCCTGGGTGAAGACCGGGCGGAAGTTTTGCGGGTTGACGCGGGCGTAGTCCCTATCCCCCTCTTTGGGATAGACGTCCCAGCGTCTAGTCAACGCATCAGGCTTGGCACCGAGTCTACCAGGACGAAAACGGACAATCATGTTGAATTGGGAAAGGAACTCAGACCAGCGGGCCTGCCGGCGAGTGAGGAGTTTCGTGGTGGAGAAGTATTCCAGATTTTTGTGATCCGTGACGACGTCGATGGGGTTGGCGGAACCTTCAAGATAGTGACGCCAGGAACGAAAGGCTTCATAAATGGCTAGGAGCTCCTTGTCGTGTGTGTCGTAGTTGAGTTCCGGCGCCGTCAACGTCCGCGAGCGGAAAGCGACAGGACGTATCTCTTCATCAGTACAACGAATAGAAATAATACCTGATATCGCATAGTCCGAAGCGTCAGTTTCAATGATTAGCGGGGCGTCGGGGACCCAATGCGTCAAGACAGGAGCGGAGGTGAAAGCGTCCTTGAGGCGTTGGAAGGCGGAGCGACAGTCGTCAGAGAATACCCAGGGTACTCCCTTACGAGTGAGGCAGGTGAGAGGAATCACAATGTCGGAATACTCGTGAATGAAGCGGCGATAGAAGTTAGCGAATCCCAGGAAGGATTGGATATCCTTTACTTTACGCGGCTCGGGCCAGTCCTGGATGGCTTTAATCTTCTCTGAGGACATGGACAATCCATTTGGCGAGAGGATGTACCCGAGGTACTCCGTCGTGTCAGTATGGAACTCACACTTCTGTGGATTGGCAAACAGGCCGTGAATGCGGAGCCTACGCAGGACCTCGCGAACATGTTCCTCATGTGAGGCCATGTCAGCGGAGTAGATAAGAATGTCGTCAAGGTAGACTACCACACACACATCGAGAAGATCAGCGAAGACGGAATTCACGAACCGCTGAAACGCCGCAGGGGCGTTTGACAGACCAAAGGGCATTACAAGCCACTCGTAGGAGCCGTAGCGCGTGCGGAATGAGGTCTTCCACTCGTCCCCAGCGGCGATGCGTACCAGGTGGTAGGCGTGCCGGAGATCGAGCTTCGTGTAGACTTGGGCACGGCTTGGGGCGTCTAGGAGGTCAGAAATTCGTGGAAGTGGATAGCGGTCTTTCTTCGTGATCTTGTTGAGGCCTCTAAAGTCGACGCAAAGACGGAGGGAACCATCCTTCTTGCGGACGAAGAGCACGGGGGCGGCGTGGGCGGAGGATGACGGGCGGATGAATCCCGACGCCATGTGCTCA